TATACAGTAATGACATTTCCCCAAACCTCTCTGACTGATGTTTAACGGTTTCATCGAAAGTGAAGTCACGGGGTTCTTCGGAAGAAGCATATCAGTGTATCGCTCGTGCTCTTTGGTGTATAATTTGCGTAATAATAGGCGCACCTTCCACGCATGATCGACTTTGGAAAATTCCACGCAGAAAATCTGTTCCCAACGTTTAAAACAAGCGTCGACCATCACGTCGGCATAGGGGTCGTAAGTAAACTCCGTGAGACAGGCAGCAACGGCGTCCGCAGAATTGCATTGCTTCTCAGAGCAACCTGGATCAGGAAAAGGCAAACTGAACTTTTGTATTATGGATTTACGGCATTTTTAGTACAAATTTCCGTACTGTACGCTAACAAGCAGGCATCTGCAATTCTCGACGAAGGCTGCTTGTATAAACTCTTCGGTACATTTTTAGGGTCACATCTTGGATATGCCATCTAAGTATGGAGACCCCGGACGTAGCAGAGTTACAAACTACTAAAAGAAGTTCAATTACTAGGAACAAAATTACTAAGGTTTCAAGTTGCACCATTACGCGAAATCGGTATCAATAACCTCAACATGTATCCTCTGAGTTATAGACAATAACGCGAAGATTTGGTACCAATTTTCCTGACCTACATAGTTTGAAAATGCCCTACTGTGTGAGGAATATTTCCAAGCCTCCCCCAGAATTTACCACTGGGGCATCCATTCAAATTACATGAGCCCCGGGGTAGTTTGAATAAAAAAAGCATTATTCCCCGATGTAACGGAACGATGGAAGAAACTACTCGAGCTGATTAAAATGCCTCAGTCTATGCAGACATTCAAACATCGCTTTGCCCTACAAATGCTGTAGTAACAAGCGGACTATGTGGTTGTTTAAATTTAAAACCAAATAAACCTATATGGAAATAAGTCTTAATCCACCTGATATTGTTGACGTTTCTTTCCATTGCTGTAACAAATAACGAATTCAAAGGCGCAGACTAGTTTCCACCTAATATACTGAATCACACAAGGAATCAAATATGATAAGGTTATTATTGGTACTACGGCTTTCTGAATTTTCACCGTTCTCCCACGAGTGCTTTGGTGAGAGCTGCTGTTGAGGCAGCATTTTGAAGCTACACTCCAGATAAAACAACAGTTAAGATCTGCCAAAATCAACTTAATAGTTAAGAGTATGTTTATTTTGTTTAAGATTTAGAGATTTTAATGCATGTTCTTTTCAACGATGCACTGTTGCCATATCTTTAGGCAGTCGGCCTTAAATGAACTTTAGCTCACTGTGTCTACGTTTCTTAGCGTTTCACCATTTTCCTTTGCATTATTTCATTATGTATTTGCCGTATTCTGCCACTTCTCCGAATGCTTGTAACTTCCCGATAGGCTTAATTGATTGCCATTGACACAAATTCTTCCGTAAAATGCATTGGGATGCTCAGTTCATTGAATATACAGGCCCGTGCTAACTTCAGTAGCTTGGATACGGTGACCTTGTGTTTGTTGACCTTGATGTAATTACAACCTTGCGAAATTTAATAAAATTTTCGACCAATATGGAAACTATGCCAGCTGACGCCAATATTAGAGAAGTAAACAATACGATAATAAAACACAGTAATACATTAAGATAGGGAATTATACACAAGAAGAAATTGCTGAATTTTCTAGTAGCCAGACTTTGCAAGGAACACAAACGCGAGAAAAGAGCACGGCTATGGCAAATGTCGAGGAGAATGAGGAAAAACGCTTGTCCTCCCAAAAGAAATTTGTCAAGTCCAGACAAGAACCTTCAAGCACTCAAGGATGTAGGAATGTTTCAATGAACAACAGCGAAATACTGCACAGCCTTGAAGTTGAAAATTACGCCCTGAAAGAAAATTTGAAGTTTACCACATATATAAAGTATTATTTTCAGACATCTTCGATTAGAAAACGAGAAACTCAAGAAAATTGTAGATGTACACAAGCGCGAACATTACTTATCCCTGCAAGAGAAAGCGAAGATCAAACAGGAACTAGAGAGGTTTGCTATAACTAAACAATTGGTGGAACTTTAATTGCTTTAAAGTACTCAAGTTAACATTTTCACACGAGTCTTAAACACACCTGACTGAAGATTCTTTAATTTCGGTATAGTAGAGCTATATTTCATACCACTGTGCTAACATTGCCGTACCAATTGGAAACGTTGCCTGTATTTGGCTATGCGTTGAAACTTAGTGCAAACTACCCTCTAGAAGGTAATGCAACAACGACTAAAAAACCGGTGGACTTAAACGTTATTTGCAGTTTAGGCGATATTATTTGCCCAGTGGTATTATTTTAGAGAAACATAGTACAAACATATATTTGAAGCAACTGGTGGCGAAAAGAATAAACGCAAGCTTTATTTAGTAATTTTTGATTCAGTATTTATGAATAGAGATCAAACCAAATACCATATGCACCACGAGGCGCTTTGAATGGCAGTACGGTTACACAGAATACATGATCTAAAGCGTATTTTCCTGGATTGCATCACGCATTTTGTCCTCAGGGAAGGTTTTATTCGATTGTTGAGAAGTGAATTAAACGAACTGAAGAAACCACTCCACTTGTCAAAGCGAAATTTAGGGGAACATATAAATCATTTGATAAAAACCGAACTATCGAGTGTAATTTATTAACAGAATACATTTACACTTCTCTCACTACTGGTCTTTGTAACCTGTAAGTCTGTTAATGAAAAAAATATACTCATCAATGCTGAAGACACTTGACCGAATTTTCTTTTAATAAATAAGTACATTCCTTTGGATTTGGTCTCATTGCACCACTATGCTCTTCAGTATATTGATTTGAACTGGACTCTTTCCTGATAAACAGCATTTTGTGCCTCAAGTCAATTCAACTAACAAAATTAACAACCTCAATTATGCGTTAAACCACGCACTCATATTTCGATCTCGACATTTTATGAGATTGACAGTCTTCTGCAAGTGTTTTCGGTGGGAGGCCAAAAATCAAATAGAGGTGTTAGTCAGCTCTGTCAAATGAACTGACCTTTTGGCAATATAATGAGCACTTCAGTTTAAACTCTGTGTTGGAATAAAATTTAAAATGCATGTCTAATACGTGCATAGGATACTGTATTAAAAACAATACTATACTTTAGCAGACGCCATTTATCTGTTTTCCATTTTATTCAGACATGATATTCATGAACTGGATATTACGGGATCCGGCTTTTTTGGATTAAATCAGACCTATAAGAAACGGAAAAGTTGGCTTTTCGAATAAAAGACTGAATATAGAGATCGTTGTTCATCCATAACCCTCATGATATCATTTAAATCTTTAGACTACGAGAACACACCGCAGCCTTTCCAAAACTACTTAGAGATGCACAGAACAGATATAGAGCAGCTGTTAAGGAAGCCGTGTTCTGCAAGATACAGCGGTATAGGGCCGTAACTTACTGCGAGCATTTGAGAACTGCAATGAAAGCCATGGATGAAAACAAACCGTCGTCAGCCGAAGTTAATTCCCAGAAATTATCGCCGGATTCTGTCAATCAGGTATAACAACACTTCTCCTACGATTCGTTTTATATTTTTTCGCACAACTATTTACAAAAAAATTTTTTACAATACGTAGACAGCCCTTTTTTGCACAAATCTTGCTATACTTTAGACAACAGATTGGAATACATGAACAGCCCTCTCATATGGAAGATGAGTAAGGCTGGGACTGGGACACCTGCCCTTGTACTAACGCCAAACATGTCTAACTATAATAAATGCATCAAAGGACACTACAGATCTGACTTCGAAATTGCTAACTGTTCAGATAACCCAGTCCTCATTTGTGGCAATATGCGTGACTGAAATCCAATGGCTTTTATCAAATGCGGTCTGTCTGGCAATCGCACGATACTAAACTGCGAGTCATTTTAAAGGAAACTGTGAAACACACTGAAAAGTGGGTTAGACAGGTCATTTATATTTGTCGGAGCCCACCCTCGGTTGCCTTGGCATTACATCGTTAGCAAGGCGTGATGGAGTATGGAGAAGTGCGTGCGTAAGATGCTTTGCAAGTCCATCTTACAATAAACTGATTCACGAATACGTCCTCGACGGTACTTAAACTCCAAATGGCACATAGCAAATTTATCAACTGTAAGGGTAAAACTGTCATAGCCGGGGCTAGTGTACAGCGAGGCCGTTCCTATTTTCTACTTAAGGTAGATAGTCAGTAAGTAACTGACAGTAATCAGAGTGGAGGAACATTATATTACATTTACAAAAGCGCTTGAACATTAAAAACAAACTTTTGTTTAAAAACTACTTGAATACTTGCAATTCTCCCTGAAAGTGTATGTATAGCCACCGTTACCTGCGCAAGGTCAAAACGCCACTGCAAATTTCTTACATTTGAAGAAATAGTCTGCATACACGCCAAAAATGATATAAGTGCTTTTATTCCATGTTGACCTTTTAAGTATCTGCGGTTCTGCCTATAGTATTCTATGCCTTCTTAATTCAATCACCAGCACAGTTTACGTTTTCTATCGAATGTGAAATATGAAAGCATGTTCAAGTACGCCGGTGACTCCGTGGATGTTAAATAAAACTCGCTCTACAAAGTCCCATGAACAAGAAAAACTTAAGAAAATACAATAGTATACTCAGAACCCAATAAAACATTAAAAAAGAAAAAAGAAATGTTAAACCATATTCATATTTTAGCTATATAAATGCTTTCTAACAACACTGTTTGTTAGACATTTCATCACAACACTTTGCATAAATATCCTCACTGGATATTATGCTCAGTTCAATAAGAAGTCAAAATGTGTCTCCCTTCCTGAAACTAACATCGCTTCTTATCATTCATAAGTAGCTAATAGCTGTAACACGAGTGTTAAACATACATAATCATACTAAACACACATTTTATTGTCACAGCAACAGAAAATTCCTAGAGAAATCTTACCTGAAATGCCGGAATCACAAAGAAAACCAATGAGTGAATTCCTCAAAGGACGACCAAGCGGATATACCATGGTCCATGAGGTTAAAACTCACAGTGGAAGTTTATATGGGTAAGAGACCAGGTCTTATAGATTTACTGAGAAAACAGTTACTAAAGGATAAAAAACTCGGCAGAAAATAAGTCCTTCACCTCTATGTTTCAAATACTCAAAATAGATAAGCCACCAACACTTTCTACACAGACGTCATTGAGATAAAGGCCCAAATAATTCATTTAAAATCGACACTCCGCTTGTTAAAACGCTCCTGTATTGTTATTTTAAACTAAGTTACAAATAAGTACATGTAGAAAATGGAGTGTGAGTTTCAACTAGCAAATGATGTTAAAATGACTTCCGCCACGGATAAGTTTCAGGCAAACGGGAACATTATCAAATGTAAATTAAGTTGTAGTTTAAGTCCTTTCTCTCTTTGATGTTCAACGTCATAGCTGTGCTCTCTTTGTCATCAAATGTGTTAGCACCTAATCTTAAAATACTAAAGGGAAAATTGCAAGAAAGTGCTACGGAAAAAATTGCTACACTGAGTATTCACCTGACTGTAGCAGTTAAAGACATCGGAAGAAATCAATATGCAACTTGCTAATGCCAGAGTGAAAAATATTAAACTAAGAGTGCAACAGTCCTAGTTTTACAGTTTAAAATGAAGACAAAGGTAAAATGTCGCGAATAGTACATACGGAAGAATCGAAAGATATCGATTCTGTAGGTCATATGGAGGAGAAATCATTACACGGCTGTTAAGTATGCCTCTACCTGAAATCACTGATGGCACTTTGCGTTTGAGGGCACAATTAAATGCACCAGAGAAGATGCATAAATCTTGTGACTCAGTACACATTATAAATGCAGAATACCCAGGTAATCTTCCTTTTACCTACAGCATTATTTTCGATACAACAAGGTAAGCAAGGAATGACTTATTTCAGTTCCAACAATCATCCTCAGAATGACTGCAAAACAGCTAAATATTCTGTGCTCATGTCGGCAGAAGGATTTTCATTTACACTACATGACATTTTGAGTGTCAGAAACTCTCTACGTCTGCACAATTAGGTTGTAATAAAAATATATTTGGCGAACTAAGCAGCCCTTCATGTCAGATAATCAGTTTTATTACTTTGACCTAAGTTGAAACAACAGCGAATGTATATTTATTGCTTCATATTGCAACCCGTTAATCAGCAGTGTGCTGAGCCCTTTCTATTTCACAAATTAAGCTTACAACTACAGATTTTCTCGGTATTACCTAGGATTTCAGTCAACCAAAAACTGCCTATTGTCTGCTGTGTCGGCGAAAAGGCTAAGTGGACATTAATTGCCGCCGATCAGGGGATTGTGCTTGATAGCGGACCAAAGCAGAAAACTTGGCTCTCCAGTGTAGCCTTCCATCCAAACGGAGAAGGCTTCCTCACTGCTACTGCCGATGGTATTCTTCAGGTGAGCGAGCAAACTATATTCTAATAAAGTAACTATCTCTCAGAGTTTCTAAGTTACACAATCATGTTTTCACAATTCTTATACGTGAAAAGAAATGGAAGAACCTATGTTGCTACTGACGACGAATCCACTCTCTTCCTAAACTCATCCAGCTCGAACGGCTACTAACCAATTAGGTGAAGGATTAATTATCTGAGGCCAATTTGGTGCTTGCAATCAGTCTGAAAAGGGCTGAAAATCGAAGAGGCGTGTAGGTGCAGTGTCAAAAGGTGTGAAATAAAACAAAAGCTGACGGAAGAGTTATCAGCCTGTTTAGTCTGCTTAAATAAGTATTGAAAAGTGCTTTACTTAGGTTAGTCTATTAAAACTTACACCAACTAGAATATGCCCAAGTAATATATAAAATACAATTAGCCACGTCTAGCTGAGGAGGCATATGTTAAAAAGGTGAGAAACGCGGGCGTTGGTTTGGAGTCTCATTTTAAATCGCGATTCAGGAGTACGTAATTGTGTCTTGACAACGTGTTTTTCCCATATAAAACGGGAATCTAGCACTGGGGCTGCAATACATATACTAAAACCAGTATATGAATGTTAGCAGATTAGCTTTTACACACTAAGATGGTCATGAGAGAACAGTATCATATGAAGCCATACTCATGTGTTTTCTATGCATTAAAATTACCCGCTTGACATTTTGTATAAAACTACTGATCCAAGCTTGTTAATCTTGGAGTAATTAGCGGGAGGATAGAAAAGGGGACAAACATAAGACTGAAGTCTACTTCAGAAGTAGATCAACTCGGAATAAAGGAAAAGTAACCAACGAAGCATTAGCCAATAAAATATTATCTCCCCAACTAACATGATCACCTAGGAATTATCCTTTAAATTACTCGAATACTCTTGATGTTCTCCTAACCTCCCTTTGACAGTATTTCATAGCTCGATTTGATGAGATAAGTTTGAGGTCAGGAAAAAGTTGTTAAAAAGCATTGCATAGTAGAACAGCCCAATTGCCATTCATAAACTGGCAAATAGATTTAATTCGCATGAACAAACATTTGCGACGCAGAACGTCTTTAAAGTCATAGTCAAATGTCCAGAATTCTTGGAAGTTTAGTGTTTCAGAACTTTGCAAGATAGAAACCAATTTATAGTGTCTTGTTTGTCGGAACGCCCTTATGTGATATACGTTCACATGAACAAAATGTCTCACTCAGAAATTGACATAGACCTTGCACTCCAAATAAATTTTCATATGTTTGCTCTCGCCAGCCCCATTTGTAGGTGCTTTGGTTTACTAAGGTTGCTATGACAACCCGTGACCTCGCAAAATGGATCATTTTCATCCTCGTACTCCAAAATATAAGAACCCGAAATCCATTTATTGTTAATTCCTTCTCAAAGGCCACAGAGGGTCAAAAGATATTGAAGAAATTTCTTATCGTTAGTGAAAATGGGAATACCCCCGAGAATTTATCGAAAGCAGGCGTATGCTCGCTAAGTGATCTTCTGGAAACCAGAGTAATTAAACACTAGCTCCTTGTAGATGATAGTCATTCTGTAAGAGCAGAAGATCCGGCAGCCTGCAAACTATTTATGTAGAATAGCTTTGTAGACAATGACTAGGCAGACTTAACTGGTAATTTCTGGTTCCTTATCCGTCATCAGTCAGCCAGATTTTCTACTTTCGGGGATCAACCCCATGCAATACATGCAAATTAACCGATAATTGAATCATGCGTTCATCGTCTTACAGTTATCTTCAAATTTCTTATCATCTCATGTCAACTTCCAACTGGTGCATGTACTGTCAGTGACTGTTTTAAAAACGTCGCTTAATTTACCATCATGTTTCTCCGTTGGCAAACCAAAAGCTATGAAATACATAATAGAATTCAATAAATCATATGGAGGTGAAGCTATTTCTAAAGAAACCATTTCCTTAAGATTGTTTAATAGTCAGTGACCCGAGCAAGTTGCTTCGAGTGGGTAAGTGCACATCTGTAATCACAAGCGGTAGAAATTATTTGCATCCATTTCCAACTCCTGGAAAATAATCCGTTAAGCAAAGGAAATTTATAAACTGTTTTAGTTACTTCCTAGGCCAACTAAGGAATATTAATGCCGTCCCACTTTAAACGTTTATAGGAATCCATTTTGTATTCACAGTGTTTCAAAGTATGAAAAGACCGGGAATTTCACTGACAGGTTCATCCAGGTAGATAGGCCTCAGTATGTGTGCGTTTACACAAGTAACAAAACCTTTTGTTGGAACAATCTATGGCTTACTATCTCCAAAGGGAAGACCTACCTCTCTGTACGCTATCTCACCGCTGCTTCTAGCTGCCTTTCTGTTTTATCATTGCAGTTTTGGTCCTTGTGCACAAACGATGAAGTGAACCCCGAGACGCGAATGCAGTCCCTCAGTCAAGAGCACTGCGGAGCCGTGTGGAGCATTGATTGGCACTGGGCTGGCAACTGCTTCGTAACTGCCGGTCTCGACCACTTGGTTCGTCTCTGTGATCCAGAGCGTATGCCAGCGTCCACGTCGTCAGTGGAAGTGCACAAATCGGCCTGTCAAATGGTCCTCCGGGGCCACACGGCCTCAGTGAATTCGGCTCATTTTGTGCCTGATGGTCGCATACTGGTGACGGCATCCGCTGATAAATCAGTTGGTCTGTGGGACACGAGAACGGTAACTACCTAATGCGCATATATCTATTTTGAAATGTATATCATCATTTTAGAAGGAAAAAGGGTACAATCTCTTTGTCTGCAAAGGCTTAATTTACGTTTTCGAAAATATAAATTGGATTGATTAATAGGTTTGCAAAAGTGAGCGTATGCAAGAATTAGGCATAACGGATAAAATACAATTTTATGGCACATCTGACTGTGACCTTGTCCCGTGCCAGAAATATATGGCAGACGGACACCCAATCTGTGAGTACATTAATGGTTTATTAAAAGCAATCCACCCTACTATTAACGTATAAGTAAGTAGCTTTAAAAAATTCAATCTCAGGAAGCCTTTGCCAATATCTCTTTGCCAAACTGAGATCCTTCCGAAATCTGAAAGTAACCAATCATTGTGGTTTCTACACAAACAGGATTGTTGCGGGTGTCATTTGCCATTTTCAGGCTAACTTTTGGCCTACTGCAGTATCTAACTCTATCTTGAGGTTTTAGGCGACGCATTCTGTCTTATGGGAGAGCAATCTGCTCCATAATCAACTAACAGTGCTACATTCTACAACTTTGACAGCAACCGAGTATGTGGGAATATGAGTCCACTTCCATTCTCATTTTTCGCCTGAGATGAGTGTGTAAGACACCTGGGTTTGCCCTCTCAGTGGTTTTGACGAGTTCGTTGCCCCTGTGCGGGGGAGTACAGACCAGTAGATACGTGCAGATTTCCCTTTTTGATGGCCGTTGTGCGGTAAGCACGAGAGGAGCAGCCTTCGGCTGACTGTCAGCGTATTCTTGACGGCTATTGCCGGTCGTGCGCTATGGTTGGTTTGTGAGTGGCCAGTGGCTTACCCTCTTTGTAG